TGCGAGCCACAGGCCTGAGGCTCCTGCAAAACCTCTGCGAGCAGGAGCCGCCAAGTGCATGCTCCAGCCTATTGCACTGAGCACAGTGTGGGCAAAACTGTCCTCCACAGCTGCAGAAGTGTGTTTGTCCCCCTTTCCTAGTTACTGATCCAAAGACAGCTCCAGAGGCCCCTGGGAAGAGCTCTGCACCCTCTCAAGACGCCCAGCAGTCCACCAGCACCGGTAAGTGTCGGAATCGCTAAAACTCTAAAAGATCCTCTCTCTTTGGGAAGTCAGTTTTCCAATGATAAGTCTTAAGAACATTTTTAATTTTAACTTGTAACAACACCATGCAGGACCCCCTCCAGCTTTGTGGTGACCTGGAGAAATGCCATAGTTAACCATCCAGTGGGCTCAGAAGTAGCTAACAGCTTGTAAGCTCCTCCTCCCACCCCCTCCCCTCTCCTTCCTCTCCCTCTCTCTCTCTCCCTCTCTCCTCTCCCCTCTCCNTGCACAGGGAAATACCAGGATCACTACCTTTACCATTATAATCAATCATCATTGCTCTAGAGTTAGCAACCTACACAATTAGACAACAGAAATAAATAAGAGGTATGAACACTGGATTTTAAATATAGAGTTAGGATTAATCATTATTTATAATTAACATAATTACACACCTGAAAAACTCAAGAAAATCACCTTAAAAACTATGACGAATAACACTAAGGTAATTATAAACAAAGTAAATATAAAAAAAACGCATTAGTATTCCTATTAGGAAAGCTATATGGTTGCCAATGTTTAACTAACCTTTGTTTGGCTCACAGAATCGAATATTTCACATGGGTCAGCCTAACATATACAAATAACAACCACCCAGAAAACACAACGGGTAAAAGGGGCCATATATAATGGTCGCGAAAAGACAAACTACTTCAGGATAAAATGAAATAATGTTCACAATCTATACAAATAACACTTTCAAAAACTCTAAGGGACACAAACCAAAACTTAATGGAAAAGCACATTCTCTTCTTAGGCCAAAGGCTTCAATATCAATAAGGATATCTTCCTCCTCCCAATTAATCCAGAAATGGGACAATGTCAATGAAAACACCAAGAGGAATTTTTTAGAAGTAGAAAGACTGATTTTGAAGTTCTTATTGGAAAACAAAACAAAACAAAAAAACCTCAAAGTAATAACTGAGAACCTTACTTTAAAAAAAGAAAAAGGAGAAGCCCTGGTTCGTGTGGCTCAGTGGTAGAGCGTTGGCCCGCGTGCCAAAGGGCCTCGGGCTCGATTCCCAGTCAAGGGCACGTACCTGGGTTGTAGCTTCATTCCCTGGCCCCATCATGGTGTGTGTGGGAGGCAACCAATGGGTGTGTCTCACATCGATGTTTCTCTCTCTCTCTCCCTCTCTCCCCTCTCCCCTCTCCCCTCTCCCTCACACACACACAATTGTGACATTTGCATTTCCAATGTGGTAAAGGGCAAGGTAGAATTCACTTAAGGGAAGATTCATTTCTTTGCTTTTCCATCTGGAATAGACCAAACACAAAATAAAGACTTGGTATCAACAAGGAGCAAAGAAGCAGGACTGGAGAGTTGCTGTTTCTGTCATTGAGGAACAAAATCACCTCCTAAGGTTCCTCAGTTAGCTGGTTGTTAAGAACTCGGGTGGTTTTTAATGATGGCGTTGAACTAGAAATGCAGAACTTAGAAAGCCTGGATTAGACAGTGAGCCCACCACTAGGTGGTTAACTCTGGACAGTGATCATATATTTAATTATATTTACATTTAACTCAGCATAACATCAGGTAACAGCGGTGCTCAGCGAATGAATGGACGCATGCACGCAGTCCTTGTGGCGCCCTGAGTGACACCGGCCTCGTCAGGGGACATGCTCCCGCCTCCCCCGGTTCAGACACTGTCTCTGTGACAGAGCAGCTTGGTGGGATAAGTGCTTTCAGAACAATACCATGTTCATAGTTCTGACTAGCAGACCACACTTAAATTTTTTATCTTGAATAATATTTAAAACTAGATGTTTGGAGGTTTTAAAACGGATCAGTACAACATGTGCTGTGTAGTTTCTTTGAAGGACATTGGAGAATGAGAATATTGTGAAGTGGGGCGGCCACATTACTTGCTTTAATAATCCAATATTTTTACAATGTTTAGACTCTACTTGTCTTTAAATTGGCTCACACCACTAGTAAACAACTCCATTTTCTGCTCTGCCTCTTCATGTATAACATGAGAGTTTAAAAATATGGTCTGAAATCCCTTTGAGCTTTCAATTTCTACAGTTTTATTACTGCTAATGACACCCATTTTCAGTAGAAGATGGGTGGTTTCATTCCCCTCTGGAATGGGCTAAAAAGCCGGAGACTGCAAGGGAAGAATAGGGAAGGCACAGCAGCACCCGAGACAGACCTTTATGGCTCTATAAGGCGCCTTCCCCAGCAGAGGCCCAGCACAGCCCGCTCCTGGGGGGCGCGTAGGTCTGAAGGGCGGGGAGCCTGCTGTGCCCAGCCTCAGGCTGCAGGCTGTCTGCCCAGGGAGCCCGGCCTTCTGCCGCCCGGCTGCGGCCTGGGGCACCTCACGGCCTCCGCCCTCGCTGGCCTGCTTCAGGAAGGAAGCATAGGGCAGGTGCAGCTGTGGCTCTGAGTCTCAGTGCCGCCTCTGCCACTGACCTGCTGCAGGACCTGAGACGCTTCACTCAGCTTCTCTGGAGCTGTTGGCCCAGAGCTGTGCTGAGGAGTAACGTGTGCCAAATGCTCAGTTTAAGGCCTGCACAGAGTAAATGTTCAATAAACAACATGCACCTTAAAAAGTAAGGCAAAGAGCCTGGCTGGTGTGGCTCAGCAGCTGAGCATCGACCTAGGATCCAGGAGATCGGGTTCGATTCCCGGTCAGGGCACATGCCCGGGTCGCGGGCTCGATCCCCAGTGTGGGGCGTGCAGGAGGCGGCCGATCAATGACTCTCTCATCATTGATGCTTCTATCTCTCTCTCTCCCTTCCTCTCTCTAAAATGAATAAAAACATACTTAAAAAATAATAATGNGTCATTGATGCTTCTCTCTCTCTCTCCCTCTCCCTTCCTCTCTCTGAAATGAATAAAACATACTTAAAAAATAATAATGAAGCAAAGTAGGTCAGACGATTTGCAGCTCGTTTTGGAAGATGTGAGAAGTTCCAAATGACCTCTGTGTTTTTCAGTGAGCATCACTGAACTTGGTCTCCAGAGCTGCTTCGCTGCTTCTGGGTGGCCGCGTGTACATGCGCACTGTACGCGCACAGTCGCATGCACACGTCCCGTGTTTCTCTCGCCTTAGTTGCAGGAACGGAGGGTTTTAGTACAACAGAGATTGACAAGGGAGAGGAAGGACGAGCCACTCAAGACCCGGATTTGACCACTGGTGAGTGTCTCCCACCACATGGAGGATAAGCAGTCGGCACTTTAACCTCCCAGTCAGTCCAGTCGTTTTGTTCAGCCCTGCCGTCCATTCCCCTTGACCTCCCTGCTGGTTAGCCGCTCCCTGCCCCTTGGCGGCCGCCTCCGGCTCCCCTGACAGCTCTCCCGGTCCTGTTGCTTTGCTGCCAGTCCTCCCCTGTGCCTGTTCGCTGACTTCCCTCTTCCCTCCCGCCTGCTGCTTCTCGTGTGTAGAGATGCTCTGATTTTATGTCCCCTCCTTGGTTCTTTCCTTAATTCCTAGACAGCTTACCGTTCCCAAGACTGTCCCAGTTGCCACCAGGCAGACGTCGTACCTGTGTCTCCAGAACATTCTCTTGAGCACTAGTCCCTGTTACCTACATGTCTCTACCTGAATTTTCTGCCATATCCTCAAATTCAGCATTGCTAAGAACTAAACACATCTTCTTCCACAGAATCAGCTCGTCTGAAGTGTCACATGGGCCCAGGCCCTGGTGTCCTCACTGTGCACGCGCGTATGTGTGCGTGTGTGCTTCACGTGAAATCAGTTTCCAAGGGCTTTCGAGTCTTTCCTTTCAGGTGTTTTGCCCACTTTCAGGGCCACCGCCCTGATCCAGACCCTCACCATCTCCTGCATGCAGACTATAACTTCAGGTTCTCCTTCTGTAGTCTATTTTTAGCACCTTCCTGCCCAAGCATCCCTTTGCGCCCTTTACACCTGTGTTCAGAAAGCCTCTGGCTTCCACAGTCTACAGCGCAGACCCTGAGCCCTGAGCTCCCCAGAAGGTGCGGGGACCAGCTCCCTCTGCAGTCCGCCTCTGTCAGGTCCTTGCAGGACGAAAACATCCTCTCCTTTTGGTGGCCCTGCCCTCACGTGTCCTAACTGGCCCCGAGGGAAGGAAAGGCTTCACTCCTTACTCCCTTTGCAAGGTTAATGTCGCCACTGAACACTTTCCTGACCACCTCAGGGACGGCGCCTGCCTCTGAATCCCTGAGCACACTATTACGTTAACACACGTGGATCTAAAATTCGGCACAGATAGCTGACTGCTCTTTGTTTTTATTAATCTATTTGTTTACGTCTAGAGAGAACTATCCCAAATAATAGGAACCTTGTCTCACTCAGCCCCAAGTGCGATGCTCTGCAGGGGGCTGGCCCTTCCTAACTGCCTGTTGGCTGAGATGAGGGCACCCGGACATTTAGCAAAGCTGGGGCCCGTAGAAGCAGAATTCTAGGTTTAGAAAGGCCTTTATGGCTCATCTAGTTTCTGGGCAAATGCCTTGATGTAAGAACACATTTATCCCAGCCAAAGTCAACAGATACTCATTTTATTTGCATAGTTTTCAAACTCCTTAACAGCCTCTCTTGCTAAACCACACTTTGCTAAAAACAAATGAAGCCTACAGCTAATTTGAATCCCCTGACTATAATTTAAGTCAATATTCTCACGTTTTTCTCTAGGAATGAAAAAGAACTACTTCAATATCGATATAACCTAAAATAATCTTTTAAATCCTCCCACGATGGCGCTGGTTGTGTTCTTGTGTTCAGAGGGAGCAGTATGAGTCTTTCACCTTCAGGGCAATGCCCGTCCTGGTCTCGCCTGGCTCTTAGCCTGCACTGCCTTTCAGAGGGGC